TGTTAGCGCGTCGCCCATCGCCAGAGTGTCTGACTAGTGAGATAAATCTGCCCAGCTTACTGATCCCGCACGTTATTAGTTACAAGTATTAGTAAGTATCTAGCAGCGTACTGTGAATCCCTTTAAGAATAGATAATCTTTGCAGGAAATAGAAGGAGATGTTACGTGGCTTAGATATGAGGCTCAAAGGTAGCCCTCGGGCCCCGTCGGGTGTAACGGGCTGATGCCCTTTGGCCTTACTTCTTGATGGGACCTCGCGTCGTCTCACGGATTCTAGGTGCCCTGAGCAGCACTCGGATTCTGCGCACACCGTCTGAACGACGCTTAGGCGCCGGACCTTGTCAGCCCGATCGTTGCTCAGGCAGCTGGTATTGTATACACATAGCTACGTAGTCTAGAAGCTTAGCTTTCTATCGAATAGAATCTCTTATATACTAAAGCGATTGCTCTACAGAGCGGAGCCCCTTACATCTGGTATTCTTTAGGCTAGTACTAAAGCTCATATCTGATCTTTAAGACGAACTCTAAGGATTCGTTTGGATACTGTTCTTATATCTCTGCTTCTACCTGCCAAAACTCTCTTAGAAGAATATTACATGGTACGGAGAACCGCGCTAAAAGCCTACGTCGATTAGGTTGGCGTTAGTACTCTAAGCGAAGCGCTACGGGGGCGGGTCTTAGTCCAAGCAGCCGTGCCACGATCGACGCAAAGCCTGGACATGATCCTAGGACCCGGACAGGTGGAGCGCATTAGCTCAAGACAACTCAATGAGACGTTAATAACTAGACAGCTCGGTGTGCAGCGCATTGGGCGAAGCCTACCGATGAGCGACAGATGGCGGCAGCGACTCGAAACCCTGCGTTCACCTGCCGTTCCGCTTCATACACGCTCCTCCACCAACCATGCATGCTGGCAGCTGCAGGTTCTCGATATGGCAGAGACGCACGCGTTATACGGTAGTTATATATAATTATCTATATACTAACGTTCACATTTTTGTGTGTGCAACAAGCAAGGAGACAAGTGAAACCGTCTGCCTCACGAGTTACCGTACACCACGCGGCGGCAGTGGCCTGCTCAACAGCGTGACGATATGGGAAGCTTGCCGGGCAACCTCTGCAGCCACCTCTTTCTTCGACTCCATCGCTATTCGCTGGTTCGGGGAGCAGTTTGTGGACGGGGCGACGGGCGCAAACAACACCAGCGTCTATTGCTAACCACCTTGTACGTAGTGCCAATCGCCTAGATCAAAGCCATTAGTCAGTCACTAAGTTCACACTCTATACCTTATAGCCATACGACCCAATTACGATTGACTATATCACATTCATCCCAAGGGAGAAAGTAATCATCTGCACCCGTAGTTGTACCGTAGTACCTCTCACACGCTTAGATGCCCACCTTCAAACTTCCCACCATATTCTATCCAAACTACAGCGTATGGTGATAGCACGATTTGGCGGTATGCCCGCTGCACAATCTTCCAAGATCTAGTACCTCACCAAGATAGATCCGCGCCACTCTCGTATCTTCTTCCACCCATACCTAGATTTTGTTGCCCCCATTGTACAGAGGGAAAGACAACCAACTGGGATCGGATGCGAAGGCAAAACATAACACCACCGCTACAGAATGTTTTCGAGACTGATCTAGATATATATTGGCCAAAACAATAGGAAGTAACCCAAGATAATAGCTCTAATCAGCAAGCGATCCACGAGCAACCGTAAGCGAAGAGGAATACCTAGTGGAGGTGGAGAATGAAGAGGGGGGGAGCAATATAGATTCATCAGATAAACTCTCGTCTCGACAGGCATAAGAGCAAAGTGTTCCGCTACACCAGTTCTTCTAGTGCGAAGGGATGCTCGTTATATATGTAGTTGGTTATATTACATCTCATCAACGGTGTCTGCAGGCTTACGTTATTGCGCTGCTGCTTATAGATTGTTTATTCGTAATAGAGTTCATGGCAAGATACTTCCATGAAGCTGAATTGTTATGCTTTGTGAGCTCGCTATAGCCAGGCCAGTACATTTGTTGGGCTCTCCTCTGCTACATACTCAATGGAGCACTTGAACTTTCTTGTGATAGACGGTGAAGAGGGGTGATTACGTTTAGAGAAAGCAGAGCAGACGCCGTTCCACCATTGCGCTTACGAGAGCTAAAAGATAACCCAACTATCAATACCCCAGACTGGAGTTTTCTTGTAGAAAAGCGTAACGAGCATCAACTAGCTAGTCACAATCGCTGGCTCCTCCGCCGTATTAGGGACCATGGTTGGCTTAGAAAGCAGCTCTTGAATAGCCAGCAATCCACTATGTGGAAAAAGAAATAAATGAAGAGCTATCTTGATTCAATACAAACCTTCCTCCAACGGCTTCTGCTACTTGTTCATATGACAGGCGGACAGCCTGCTAGAGGGACGGAACTTCTTACACTTGAGTGGAGAAACTCGCAACACGGAATTCGGCGAAACATCTTTCTCGAGAATGGCCTAGTTACATTTGTGACTTCCTACCATAAAGGCTATAGCATCACAGGATCTACCAAGATCATCCACCGCTCCCTACCGCCTGAGGTTAGCGAGCTCCTTGTCTATTACCTTTGGCTTGTAGCGCCCTTTATTAAGCAACTAAAACGCCTTACGCCAGACTTGGTACCTACAAGCATAACCTCTTCCCTTCTTTGGTCTCGCTCGATAATGGACAAGTCTGGGCATCGGCAGGACGTGCCTTGGCCAAGCAAGTGCCTTAGTAACGTACTGGCTAAAGAGTTCTCGCGACATCTCTCCACACGTGCCGGCATTATTTTATGGCGGCATTCAGCTATAGCTATTACTCGGCGCCATCTTGGACGATTGGGATTCAAAAGAGACTACGATGGCAAAGAGGAGATCCAAACTGTCGCGGACCACCATACTGCGCACAGCTCTATGCTAGCAGGTCAGCTATACGCTCGGGGGATAGAGGAAGCACCAGGGCATATTGCACCAATACGAGCAGAGTATCGCGCTATCAGCCGTGCATGGCATAGCTGCCTTGGGTTTGGAGTGTTTATTGGCAGCCGTCCAACAACATCAATGCCTAGTAATCGCTGCCAGCCACAGCTAGAAACGCGTTCTAGTACTGTACCCGATGGCATCGTTGTGGAGAAGTGGACTGGCACGAGAGAGACGCTAAAGAGAAAGGAGAGAGATGATCAAGATGAGCTAGATCAATGGTTTCAGCATGGTGTGAAGTTTGGTAAAAGGGCTACACGGCGAAGGGTGATAGATGAGTAGAATGATGTATAACTCCTAGTATATGATGCTACGTGAATCTAACCCCCGATTCATCATAATCAGGTGATTGCGCATCCTGAATTAAAAACGCGCGTATGCGACGCGGATCAGATGCTGATTCTCGCCCATTATAGTCTAGCGCGAATTAGGACCTCCATTTCCGCATTTTAGTTCTAGCGTGAGCGTCCTAAAAATGTCGTGCACGTACTATTGGATAGTGTGAAGCTCTTGATGTTGAGGTCTTTGGACTTGATTGCTGCAGATGAGAGATAGGGTACTATCGACAGATAACTCTTATATTCGTACTTGGAGTCTTCGCATATCGAGCTACAATGGCTTAACACCTATGCTGTAATTATATAGAGGAGTGTGGCTTGCTCAATACTGCGAACTCCGTAACTGGCCAGTTTGCTAATTGTTAATTAGTGACGTGATTGCGGTACAATCGATTGGAGGAATTTTCTAAACTGCTTACCATCTGTGGGCGTAAGCGTTTTGAACGCAAACATATGCCCAAGCAGTTAGCTGTCATCAACAGATCACGCATACCAGGCACACAAGGAACGACATATGCATATGCAGAAGCTAGAAGTCGGATGTATAGTGAAGAGATGACTAACTAACGTGCGTCCAACCGAAACGGAACAACCCCTGTAGCGGAACAAACAACAGGTACTTTGACTTTGTCTTGGAATGTTCATATGCATACTGTAAAACAATTTCGTCGGGTTACTAGTCCTTGTATCTCAGCTATCTATAAGGATAAAATACTCCTCTAAACAGAAAAATACCAAAGTCTTCTTACCTTTATAGACTTCTTTACAGAAGACTTTTTCCTGCGGCGCAAGACAAACGCGCTAGTGCAGCCTCAACACAACGCTTTATCGCCCAAAATAGTAAGTCGTAGTCTTTCTGCAAGCCTTAGAAACCTTGCAGCGATGTCTGGCGGCCGCAAGAGTAGTGCGGTTGCCATGGCGTGCGGAACAGTGCAGAGTCGCTATCCCAGCTGGTACTTTCGCATTGCGCGCCTGCTGCTTTCAGTTAGCGTTGTTGCTCGCATGACTGTTACTATATTACAGTGGTTTGGGCTTGGCTGCTTATGTTATGCGGATGCGGATGCCAAGGCTTTAGGTAGCAGGCGCAGCAAGGGAACATAAATACGCCTAAACTGCCCTCTGCATCCGCCTTTCGTACCAACGACTCTCAAGCCGGCTACTCACGTCTTCTTCTTCTTCTTCTTCTTCCACCTTTCATTGAAGCAAGTTCTTTGATTTTGCGCGCGATGCGACACAGGCCTCACGAGGATAAGAAGGCGACAATCAAAAATCAAAGCAAAGTTCTACAAAGACGACGTCGAGACCGCCAGCTCGGTCGAACCCCTCAGCAGTCATCGTCACGCGAGACCCCGCCCACGCAAAACACGCTTCTCCTCAAACTTCCTGCCGAATTGCTGTGCGAAATAGCAGGATGTCTTCAGCTTAACGATCACAATGCGCTATGCCAAACATGCAATATACCTCTGCCAGACACTCACACGTCAACTATATCAGTGCGGCGGTACGAAATTAGCAAAGGCTATTCCAGAGAAGAACGGTGTACATGCTGTCTCTGCATGGATAAGATCTGGAGCTAAAAAGGGCACTGTGCTTTATGGTTTCACTGCATTAACTCGTGTTTCTATATGTTCAGACGTAAATATCATTGACATGGTACTTGCAACAGACGGAGATATCGAAAGTGTAGTCGAAAGCAATGGTCGCACACCATTATCGTATGCTGCGGAATATGGAGAACTGCAGAATGTTAAGAGATTGGTTGAGGCTGGTTGTTCTACGAATGTAGCCGCCAACAACGGAGAAACACCGTTGTCTCTAGCGGTAACGAATGGGCACCTAGATACAGTCAAATACTTACTTATTCAAGGCGTTAAGTTGAAACTTGACGGATTACTTCAAAGTAAAATAAGCGGCAACGATAAGATGGTCAAACTGTTAAGGAGACATGGAGTGCGGTAAAGAAGCTGAAATAGATAGTGTACGATACTTAGTAGGGGCAACAATAACCGAACATAGCGTGGATATCCCAATGTTTGCTCTACAGATGAGCGAGGCTGAGAAGCTTTGTGCGGGGAGGAGAGATCCAGATACGGTGGGCACGTAATATACCGGAAACAGTTCAGTTTCCACTTATTGTTTCTTCAGACCAACCCAATATGTTGACGTATCACTGACTAACTAGTTAACTAATTTGATTAGTGAGTTATTGATCTCGGAGAATAAAGGTAAGTTGCAAAGGAAAAGTCATATGGTGCCAAAAGCTTATCAGGTAAGCATCACAGTGATAATGACAACCCATAAGGTTAAGTACGACGGTCAGCAGATACCAAAGTAAGCAAAGCAACAGCAAATAGGGGAAAATAACTTTACGCCCCTGACCTGTCTATAGTACGAACAATGCTATCTATGTATTCCACGACCTATCACCACATCCGGGCCTCGGGCGCTCTCCTTGATTCGAGCGTTGGATCGACTGGTGTTTGGATTTCGGGCGCATCCCGTTCTCCATTACCTGTACTGTGCGCTTCCGGCACTATAGTTTTACGCTTCCGGCCACGCCTCTTTGTATCTGCTTGGCCTTGACCTGCCTCTGCAGCTGCCTTTGGTCGACCGCGCTTTCCTTTGCCTTGGGCTTCTTTGGCCTCTTTAGCCGCTTTCTTCCTCGCACGATCTGCCCGAATCATTTCAAGATCTTCATACATCACCACCCTCCCGTTTCCATCCTTTTCGACTTTCTGAAGAATTTCAGACTTTGTCTTACGGCGAGTCTTGGCTTCAATGTTCGCATCTCTGAGGATTCCGATGTAATTCTGGTCCAGTGC